GGAAAAGTGGGGGTCGTCTTGTACATGGGGGCATCTTATTGTCGGAAAAATACGGTAGTTCTGTCACCTAACAGGACTATGGATGTGTTTTTTCAATAGCAGCAACTAGTCCACAAAGTAAATCACACAGAAGACTCTTTTTATAGTAAGTTGTGCTGTGAGAAGGGACAGAGACCCATTTATATTAACTATCATGGAGTTGCTTAAAGCACCCATGGATGTGACTCATGATTCTGTTTAATACCTTTTCCAAATTAATAAAATAGAAGTAGATGGAAGAATTTGCAGAGACGGGATGTCACTTGACAGTAAAACATAAGGCCAAGTTCCAGTCCACCCTCAGCCATTGAAGTTCATGGGATGACTTTGGTTCAGTGACTCTCTCTCAGCCAAACCTACCTCACAGGACTGCAGGATTAAAATCTAATAAATAAAAGAGAAGCGAGTGTGTAATTCTAAATCCATTTGCCTGGAAGCAATTCTCTTGAAATCAATGAGCTTTATTTGTAACTAGGCATACACTATAAGGGGATTAACAAGTCAGTTCAACATGGTAATCCAGTTTGTCTCTTTCAGCTGTGGTTTTATATTGTTTTATATCCATAGCATCTTCTATTCATCCTTCTCTTGAAACTAATAAACTACTAATGGTCATTACACCTGCCAAATGGGACAAACATTTACTTGCAAACATTTACTTGTATACACTGAAAACTTTAAACACAGTTATGAAGATTTTACAGAATCACCTTACAAAATCCTTTTTTTATTGTGCTGAAGTCTGGTAAAACATAGTCCAACATCACTGTATTTTCTTCTTTCAACCTGGAACAGAATTCAGAATGCATTAAATAATGTCTTAAAGTTTCTCAAAACAATTTATTCCACAGCAATTTTTATACTTTAGTATAATGTAACCTGAATATTCTTGAAGAATGAAATGGGCTTTCAAAATGATTATTAGGTAATTAGTAGAGAAAGACAAAATGTATAGCATATGCTTGATCTTGAACATTATTATTTCTTCTATTTAAAATATTTTAGGTCACCTTTAAGGACAAAAACTTCTCTTTAAAGTGGCCTAGAAAACTAAGTATCTCTTCTTCTGTGAATCAAATCAGAAATTAAAATCCAGATGAAATGTCTCCTCAAAGATCTTTATCTCTCCTTCCAGATACACAATTGGGCACAGGAGATAAAATATTCCATACATGCTCAAAAAGTACCCTTTTAATTACAAAAATGTCAGCATAACCAGGTGGCATGCTTTTTCAGGATCAAGCCCTGTAAAGTAAATTTCCAAACTTTAGATAAAATAACCAACACTTAAATAATATATTTAAAAAGACCATACTTGGCAATCTCCATATCCTTGAAAAAGTCTTGTGAAACGTAACATACGTCTTCTTTCACTTGATTAATCACATGAGTTTCATCCATAACATGGAGCTGCCTAGAAAAATGACAAGAACTTTTGGAAAAGTTCTTTATTCTGTTTGCATTATCAGTTTATTATGAGTGTTAAGCAAAATTTACTTAACCTTTTATTTCACAGTCTACTGCAAGATTAATTATGGAAAAACCCATTTAAGTCTTTATGCTCTACAGATATAGGCATACTACTAAATTTAATGGTAAGTTGAGGAATTAAAACTACTAACGTTACGCTAATTTATGTGACTTCTCAGTAAGTTCTGATTAGGGGCTTGTCAGGCAACCCAGCTAAACTTCATAGCTCCTTATATCTCAAGGACATTTCCTTAACAAGATTGCTATAAATGATGAGTTCATAGTCAGATAATCAGAGAGCTTGAAGCAGTTTTAGGAGTCATCTATTCCAACCTCCTGCTCAGCGCAGGATGCACTAGAATATCTCTAAAAGACAACCATCCAGTCTGTCTGAAGACCTTTGGTGTGGGAAAATTCACAATTTCCACTGGCTGATAGCTCAGAGTCAGGAAGTTCCTCCTGCTATTTACCGTTAACCTCCTTCCTTGTAGTTTTAGCTATAGGTTCTGGTCCTGCCCTTGGGGGCAACAGAAAATAAGTCCCACTTTCCTTCTGTGAAAGTCTTTCACATATTTGAAGACTGCTATCATGTCTCCCCTCAGTCATCTTTTCTGTAGGCTAAATATATCCACATTATTTAACTATTCCTCATAGGGCTTGGTTTTAAAACCTCTGGATTTACTTTAATTTGTCACTGTCCATTTTTAAAGTATAGTGTCCATAACTGAATACACTATTGCAAATGGGGCCTGATTTGGGCAGAATAGAGTAGAACAATTACTCCCATGATCTGGACTTTCCTCCTGTTTAATGTACAAGTAGTCCTCATTTAGCAACCACAATTGGGACTGGCAATTTGGTCATTAAGCGAAGTGGTCGCTAAATGAAACCCTGTCTGTGCTTATGATCTTACTTCAGCTTTTCTTTAATTTACAGACCTACAAAGATTGTAAATGCAAGGATTGGTCACGAAGTTATTTTTTCATCACTGTCATAACTGCGAACAGTCACTTTACAAGGCAGTCGCTAAATGAGGACTACCTGTATTCTAAGATAACATTTGCCTTTTTAGCAGCTGCACTGCACTGCTGGTTTATGTTTAACTAGTGGTCAGTAAGAACAACAGAACAGAATTTCCTTCATGTGTACTACAGCCAAGACAGGTCTCCTCCAACCTATATTTGTGCTGTACATTTTTCTTACCCAGATGCAGAACTTTAGATTTCTCCCTGTTATAACTGATCTTATTAATTTTAGTTCACTGCTTCAGACTCTTTAGATCTTTTTGAATCTTCTCTTTTTTGTCTAAAGTAATAGTCACTCTTCCCAGCTTTGCATCATCTGCAAACTTTATAATTGATAAAAATGTTGAACAACACAAAGCCCTACTACTTCCCTCTAAGCTGAAATGGAACCATTAATTAACACACTTAGGATATGGTCATTCAGTCAACTGTCAGTCCATCTAACAATAGTATCATCTAGCCCATATTTTACTATTGCATTAAAGAGAACATCATGAGACACTCTGTCAAAGGTTTTGTTGATGACCAGTCACCCTATGACTCTCTGATCTACTTAACTAGTAATTCTGCCAAAGAAGGTAAGATTAATCTAGCATGATTTGTTTGTGACAAAGTCATGCAGGGTCTTTTTGCTTGCAACATGCTTATCAAAGTGCTCCCTTTGATAATGGGGTTCAATGGGGTACTTAGTAAAGCATCCTGAATAGTTTTGCAGAGTCCAAATAAATGCTTTACCTGTAAGAGATTATTTCCTTTAAATGATTGGTTAAAAGTTTTCCTCCAACATTTATCCTGGGAATTAAAAAAAAATAAAAACACCTTGAAATGTTTGTATATTTTTAAAACAACATTTCCTTTTTTATGAATAATTAAACATTTTACCTTATTATTGCTTCTTTCTTCTTTTTACTTCTGCAGTAAGGCACAATGTGTGTAAAAGAATATCCACTGTCCACAATAATACAACACAGTTCTGATGGGTTATCTCGGAAATATCTATGTGCACTAAGAGCTCCAGCTGAAACATAATATATCATATTATCAGCTATTTTTATTAGTAGGCTGACATAATAAATTTAAAATGTGTTGAATCAATGTCAAAATGAAGAACATTGTACATTTTCTGGACAGTGGACAATATCACTCACCATTTACTCTGAGAACTGCTTGGAATTGGTATTCTTCAAATAATATTTCATTCATGGATTCTTGAATTGAACTAAAGTTGAAATAAGGTTCTGTGATGATGATATTAGTATCAACAAAATCTACCTGTGAAGGAAAACATTTCAAGAAATGGAAGTAGTTTTGAAATAAATCTGTAGATATAACAACTTCCTAATAATAATTCAAAATCCATATTAAAGCTATATCATTGTTAAGTTGCCGTATATACAGTAGTCTCTTTCAGGTACTGTACTGAGAAAGTTTTAGACTCTATTTATAACTCTCCCAAAATTGCTGAATGAAATGAACAAACAACCCACTTTTAAAATATATTAGCATAATATATAATAGATTAGCATAATATATCAGCTGGCAGTCAGTTCTGAATATTTATTTATTTATTAAACTTGTCCCCGCCTATCTCCCCCCAAAGGGGGACTGTGGGTGGCTTACAACATATTAAAACAATAAATAAATATACAATTAAAATTTATAACAGGACACATTTACAAAGAATAAAAGGTAAAATCCAGGAGGCCGATGGAAGCAGCACCACCAATATTCAAGAATACCCACAGTGAACAAGTGCATGTTTGGACAGATCACAACTGAAGCTTTAAAACAGTGAATGGTATCCACATATTATCCAAATCAGAAACTTGTTTTCAATTATTATTATGGTGAATATTTTAAGTAGTATGATCCAAGTGCCTTCTGCAGTTGTCTTGGTTCTATATTCAAGATATAGAAAAATGCATGTTACCTGATACATTTCTTTTCCAAAAAGATAGTCCCATACTTGTCTCTGAACATCCCAATTAACCAAGTACCCCTATTTTTAAAAAAGAAAAAAAAAGTTTGCATAATTCCAAATTTTCAACCTACATTTGTTGGACACACTACTAAAAGAAATCAATATGGAAATTCTTTATGTTTTGAGGAAAATGTAGCTGCTTCCTCTGTTGAGGTGAATGGACATCCCGTATGTAAAAATCTTCATGTTTATGCTTAATAGTTCAAAGTATTTTTATCGTTTTTCTGTATATAAATGTTGGGCTGGGCCACATGACACACAGATTTCAATAGTATTCTGCCTACATCATTTGTAAAACATCCAAGTATAAGAAAGAAATGATATTTGACAGTGCATTATGAAAGCCTCTCATTTCTAAGAACATATTTTTGCTTTTGGAAAAGATGTTTAAAGTTCTGCCCAGTTCGTATTTATCACATATACACAATAGCTAGTTCTACCAACCTCAACCAGATTTATTCCCAGACAAGTGTGTTCAGGACTGTAGGATTAAATTGTAATTATTAAAACATTCAATGGAAAACAAACAATTCCTGCATAAATTGTGGCATGTTTCTAATTACCTTTTGGAAAGGGAGAATATAAAAAAGTCCAGATGGATCTTTAATTTCATCCAGTTGGTTAGCTGTAAATGTTTTCAAACGAGCAGTCTTTGATCTGAACTGGCAATTGGGAATTACACTATAGGAAGGAGAAAAAAAATCTAGCAGATTCCTAAATACATATTTAAATGAACTGTCATCTGTAGATGAACATAACAAATAACAAAATACTGTCAATATTAAAATGCTCTCCAAGGGAACTGCTCTACTAAGTTAAAGTTTTTATTAGATTTGGAAGCAGCAAATCAATGTCTGCAAAGAAAGAGGGGCCTGAGACTCAATAAATTCTATACAGCTAAATTGATGTCAAATCAATTTTTTCTGCAAAATTTTTTTGCAGAAATGATTTTACTCTCAGAAAGCCATACACAGCCTGCAGCTTTAAAAATACACATGAAACTTAAAGGAGGCTCAGAATTTAAAATATTATATAACACATTTATTTTAAACACTGTATGAAGACAATTTATGCATAATCTAGACAGTTGGGAGACTAGTTCCTGTGCAATCAGAAGGCTCCAAATAAACTGAGTATGCTATGAGGTGAACGGAACATGCTTTAAATATTTCTATTTGCAAAAATCGTTGATCCATCTGTGAATAGAAAACAGATTCTTTCAAATTCTACTTGATGGGAAATATTTTACAACGCACAATACAATTCAGTACATGACGTTTCTGTAGTTAAAAAAAAATCTGGGCATTTGTTAAGGAACGTTCAAAGTTTCGGGATGTTTCTCTTCATTCACAATAACAATACATTCTGATCCATCCCTATATGAAACATATGAGAAACCCCATAAACTCGTCGTCAATTGCCCTAAAACGATGTCTGTGAAAACAGGCTTCCATTTTCTCCACAATTGATTCGGAGCGAAAAAACCTCACCTGACATGAGCATGACTGTACCCGATCTTAGCATTGTAAGCGCCGTTGTCCAACACGAGAGTCGCCATCTTCCCCTCGTGTCTCGGTCTCTCGACTCCGCCCCATTTCCTAGAAAAAGTCTAGACTCTCCGCTTCAGTCCACAGAATATTTCCTCCCAGGTTCGATCTACCATCCTAAGATAGACTATTACAAGATTTCCTCATGAGTGGGAGAAGACCCATATAGGTAGGAAATTGGCCCAAAAGTTGGGACATATGCATAAAAATGATTATTCTAATTTATAGCGCTTCCGGATTCGATTTATTTTAGTTCCGGGGATAGAGGTGAGACTAGTCCATTTAAACAAAACGCGGTAGCATATGAAGCAGTCCTTAATTCTGTGTAACGTGTGACTTATTTGGAGTAATAATTTTATTTTTTTTTAAATGTTCGTACGTTCAAAAACTGAACGGCTGCATGCAATTGAATGGAACACTCCAGGTCAGCGCTACTAGGCTGGCATGAAAACGGACGATTTAAAAGGGGTTTCTGCGAACGATTTCTAACTGGAAATTTAAACCGGAATCAGTCATATCTATATAGTACAGCAGTGTTTTGTAGATTTCTGGAGTTCTATTTTTTCAGCTTCCCAATTCCGAGTAAAGATATAATTCATTACACAGGAAGGCTGGGGCAGTCAACTACTTGGGGCATGATTTGGCAGGTTTATAATTTCCAAGGGTTAAAATATTAGATTTCTCCATTACTGTTTGTATAAGTAACTCTCAAGTTTGTCACTGGATTTGTTTGCATTTATAAATAGTTCCATATCAGAAATAACCTATACAATGAAATGTTTCACTCTACACTATATTTCTATATTTGTACTCTGGTAAGAAAAGCACATTTCTACTTATAATGTAACTGCAATGGGACCAAGCCATTCAACTAGACCACAGATGTGAATCACTCTGTGATGGACATTGCTGATTTTTTAAACACATTTATAATTTTAAGTTATTTGTGTATTTGACAGAAAGTCCCACTGGACTTTTCTTACAATCTTGTAATAAATCCCTTAGAACAATCCTTTTCTTTGATTATCTGCAATATAGGGACACTAATGTTGGATAGCTTCATGTTTGTAAAGAAACAACATAAAAGATTTTTTTTCTTTATTCTTATGGACTAAACAGTCTGAATTTTAGAAGGTAAAACCCTGCTTATAAATCTCTACAATTATAAGATACAGCTATAAAAGCTGGAATAGGGGTGGATGAATTACGAATTGGAAAATAAAATTGATACCATAAAAAAGTGGTATGAGTTATAAATAAATTAGAATAACACTTAAAAACAGTAACCCTCTCAAAACTGTATATTTATTATATCTTTTAACTCTCCCAAAATATTACAGGGCAATACTATCAGAAAGCCCACTTCTCAGTAACTCCAATGAGTGGGGTGGGACTAGAAGCCTGAAGGAATCACATCCTGCAACGTCCTGGGAAAAAAATCTAAGAGTCTAAAAATGATTCAGAACATTCACTTCCCAGCCAGCCAAATGAACCAAATTAACCAGCATATAGTGTAGGAATTAATTTAAGTTTTGTTTTGTTTGTTTTAACCAACTGCCCATCAGTAATGATCTTGGTCAAAAATCCCAGTTTAGGAAATAAGTTTAAGTGCTGATATATTTGCTGAATGTTAATGTATCCAAGAAGACATACACAAATAAAAAATAAACAAGGCAGGTTATTTTATTAAAACTATACTTGTTAACAATAGAGAATTACATGTGCTTTTAAACTGTATTAAGGATATTTACTTTCCTTTTTTTTTTTTTTTTAACAAAAGTCATGAATCTGCAGGATAGTGGGCAAATGCTGACATGTGTATCATGATGCCATCATGCAAAATGAGGTGAGTTACCTACATATGTTGGCCACCATAATGTAATTGACCCAAGTTATATAATAGTCTTATTTTTCATTGTGACATACATATTGTTATGTTGATACAGTTATGGCTTGTTGTGGAAACCTATCAAAATATAGACCATGAATATCGGAGTAACTCCTCCAGTCAGAATTACCAGACTGGAGGAAAGGAAGTGTGTCTCTCAAAGGGTGCTTTTATACCCAATAATAACTCATGCATTGGTCCTGAATGGAGCTCCCCTTGAATACTCAAAAGCTGCAGCTGGTCCAGTATGTGGGAGTATGGGCAATTATGGCAGGCATGGCATGCACAAGTAGCACCTTTATTTCATGAACCTCACTGGTTGCCAGTAGACTTCTGGGTGCAATTCAAGGTGCTGGTTATCACCTTTGAAGCCCTTTATGGTATAGGGCAGTGTTTCTTAAAGTGTGATTCTAGGACCCCTGGGGGCCCCCAAGACCCTCACAGCAGTCTGTGAAATCAAAATTATTTGCCAGACTACACTGAAAAATAATACAATATTCAAATCCCACCAAACAATAGTGAGAAGCGGTAGTGGCCGTGAATGTGTCAATTTTAATTTTTAATATGGTAAATAGCAATAAATATAATGTAGACAAACAAAAGCTCTTTTGGGGTCCTCCATAATTTTTAAAAGTGGGAAGGAGTCCTGAGAGAAAAAAGTTTAAGAAACACTGGCATAGGGCATTATTATTTGAGGCACTATCTCCTGTAGTTTCTGCCCATCCCATGCAGTCTGACAGAGTCAGCATACTCCAGGTCCCATCAATTATACAATGTTAGCTGATGAAATCAGGAAGTGGGCCTTTTCTGTCATGGCACCTGTCCTCTGGAACACCATTCTGCCCGAGATTCCTGTGCTCCTCACCCTGACCCCGGTTTAAGCAAATCTTTAAAACCTGGCTTAAACCCTAGGCCCTGGGTTAGAATCTATGGTAAACCCCTAGTGGGATGTTTCAGTTCTTTGATTTTTTTCCCTCCACACTTCCTTTTGGATTATATATTCTGTGTCTTTATTGTTTGTTGTTGCATCATGTAAGCCATCCAGATGCATACAGATTGGGACTGCCTATAAATCTAAAAACAAACCAATAAATAAATAAATCCAGAATACATCCTCCTAACAATGCATGTCTTTAGAACATCCATAAATAGGCATATGTGAGTTGCATCCTCCTCCCTTCTATTACATATGATTATCATGTAACAATGCTGGTGATCAATTTAAAAATAACAATCTATATGATTACTCTTAGACGTATACAGGAAAAATAATTCTTTTTTCTGATGAACAGAAGATGTTATCTGAAAGAAGACACTGAGTAGGTGGTTTTACTTTCCTCTAGGTATGTGCATAGTTTATCAATCCAAGAATCGATTGTCCAAGAAACTTTTGCAATGTCTTATTTTCCTCTGCATCATGCCAAATTTTCTTTGATCCATTCTATTCTAAGCAGGATTCAGTAGTTTCCAGAAGCAAAACCTCAGAACTAGATGCAGTACAAGGTACCTTGGGAGTGATCTGGACTCAAAATAAGCCTTTTTTGTCCAGAATATTATGTCTACAACATCTCAAGACTTTTTTGGTTTGAAGAATGTATTTCTATATGCTGAATCACCCCTCAGAATGGCATTGTCTAGAGGAGGTTTCACCTGAGAGAAACAAAACATTTCAGTCTTCTCCAAAAAGGTCTATGGATTGATTCATTTTGTTCATCCCTATTTTAAACCTAAGTTATTTATTTTGTCAAGAAAGCAAAAGAAAATCTATTTCTTAAATACTCTTGCTTTTTCTCCATTATCCATATTTCCTGTGAATGAACTGGATGAATTTACAGCAGTAACCGCCTGCTTGCCAGACTGTTCCAAGAATGACAGCCTGCTTGCAGGACTGGGAATTCACAACTCCTCTTTATGACACAGCATCTTCACATGGCAGAGATGCTATCCTTGTCATGACACATGTAGGGACAGATTTGACCCCCACCTGATAGGAAAAAAAACTTTATTCTTTTATTTAAAAATGGGTAGGAAAACTCTGAAAGGAACAGAAGGAAGAAGCTATGAACTAGGCTTCAAAAAACCTGAAAGACAGCTAGGTGGCAGCAAAGAAATATACAGGCAGTCCCCAGTTTAAGAACAAGCTCATTCCCAAGGTCTGTCCTTAAGTCGAATATGTATGTAAGTTGGAACAGTATTTTTGTATAATACTGTATAAATAGTATTGTGTACTTAACTTGAATCATTGTGTACTTAACTTGAATTTTGCTACAGTAGGCTCCATTCTTAACTATTGGTCATCCATAAACTGGGAGTTCTTAAGCCAGAGACCTCTATGTATAAACTGTGTCTCTTACCTCCTGCTATCTTATCTCCTCCTAAGGTTCTCTTTCAGAAAAAGCACTACAATAAATAAAGCAAATTGTTCAGTCTTCATAATTGACAAATGATTATGTCATTTTGGATGACAGAGATATTACGAGAATCTTCTAAATCCTTGACTTATTTTACTTATTTTCAGTATTTAAAAATTGCTGACTCAACACAGACTCCCAGCAGTTTACAAAAAAACTGAACATAAAATACATTAAAAACATTAAAATCAATAAAACATCATTATCACATCCCTGCATCCATATACCACCATATCTCAATTCATAAAAAATAAGAATTAATTTTAAACTCTGTTGAAAAGCTCAGTTTTGATTGCCATAAGGGAAGGCAACAATGAGACCTGGGGGTAAACTATTTCACAGGAGTAGAGCACCAGTGTTTCTTACCCCCTTTCTGGTTTTATGCAATTGAGATAAACAGCAATAATAATGTTGCGATAATAAAGACAACAGCAATACAATACAATTAAGTAGCAATAATATTGTTTTAGAGAGAGAACTGAAGAACCTTGTCTTTTTTTTTAAGAGAACAGTACGATATCTAAACACTCTGGAAAGAATTGGCGATTTGAGAACTGCAGCCTAAGATTTCCAACTTAAATGATATTAAATGTTATTAAAATTAAAAAAAAATAATCTGTACTACATTTGTTTACAAGTGAGATTTACATTTCTATCTATACTTCTATTTTTTGTTGAGTTTGATTGTAATTGTTAAATGCTGTGCCTTAGAACAGAATTAAATGTTTATTAACGTGAAAGAGAGAAAATCTAATGTTCAAGCATAATGGTTAAATGTAATTTTAAATGAATACATCTTTTGGAATTTCAATGGAAAAAGAATATTAAGTTCACCTTGAACATTATCTTTAGAAAGAACTGATATGTTTATTGCTGGTACATTACTCTGGTCATGATTGCTAAAATGATTGAATCGTTCTTCCATATGTGGTGGCTGAGTTGCAGAACTCAATATTATTGGAAATGAATTAATCCTAGAATGGAAAAAAATTTGAAAGTTGTAATTCCATTTCAACCTGATATATTTTTATTCACCAAACCAAACATTTATTCAAAATACACTGAGCTTGCATTGAATATAACAGCTAAGGATTTTAAATGCTTTTTATTGGAAAAAATCTCTAATCTTCCCTCTATGGAATAATGGTTAATTAAACTGTGGGAATATGCCCCAGTCTAAAATAGCTTCATATCTGTAAATCTGATGTATAGTGGAATTGTGCCACATCTCAAATTTGGATTCTAGAGTTCATATTTTAATCTGATATATACCCTACATATTATTTACAGTATCCTTTTAATGTATTGTTTACTATGTATAGCTTCCCCCCCACTTATTAATTAAAATTGTGTTAACCAAATATTTTTACAGTTCAATAGAAATATCTCTAGGCCAAAATTTGGGTATGAAATGTCTTAATAATAATCTAAATGAATGGCAAGAGAGCCAGTTTGCTGTAGCTACTAAGGCATCAGCCTAGAAACCAGGAGACTGTGAGTTCCAGTCGTGTCTTAGATACAAAGCCCGTTGGGTGACCTTGGGCCAGTCACTCTCTCAGCCCTAGGAAGAAGGTAATGGCAAACCACTTCCGAAATCTTGCCAAGGAAGCTGCAGGGACTTGTCCAGGCACAGGAGTCAAGACTGACGCAAAAGTACACACACACACAAAAGTGAATGGTTATTAGAATATATTACCTATATGTTAGTTTCCATCTTCTGATTATTTTCAATTTGTTGGCCATCCACACATATTCTATTTTTTTAAAAATTATGTATGTATGTATTTGATTTGATTTGTGTAACTGCCCATCTCACCTAAGTGACTCTGGGTGGCTCACAATATTCTACTGTATATCCTTTTTCTCCCTTCCTAACTATATTCTCTACATTCTTTTAAATGTATATTTGTATCAATATAATTTGTTTTCCTTTTTTCTTGAAATTATAATATCTTTCTAAAAAGTGTATGCGCTTTTTAATTTAACAGGGTTGTTAACTTCATTCAATTCTACTAATTTTATATTCATTTTTACCTATACAGTGGTACCTCTAGTTACGAACTTAATCCGTTCCGTGACTCTGGTTGCAACTCGAGTTGGTCGCAACTCAAGGCAAATTTTCCCATAAGGTTCAATGTAAATATGGTTAATCCGTTCCGCCCTCCCTATTTGGTCGCACCAAGAGGCAAATTTCCCCATAAGGTTCAATGTAAATACATACAGTTAAACAGTTCTGAAACACATGCATTTTATTTTTAAACCACAAAAACATGAAAATAGTCGAGATGGTCGACTTCGCCATCTTGTACTCCAAGGCCAGATCAGTCACACAAATACCACAATCGTGCCTTTCTATAATGTCCTTCTTAAGTTCGATTGTCACTTTTTT